AGCTATATTCTAGAATTATAAAAGGCGGCCGAATCAAGGACAAGCTCTGTCACTTAAGTAAACCCTTCAAAATCAAATATGAGTCCCAATCTCTTAGTGTTAAATTAAATTTCCTTTTTTCCATGTACAGCTGAAATCTTCATATCTTCAGGAGCTAAGTCTTTTGTAATTTCTCTATAATTTTATGCCTTAGGACATTTTGGCCTTGAAGCTCTACTAGTAACGCAACCACAATTAACGCAGGTATTTAAAGAGTGACTATGTGCCTTATATAATTAATAAGCTAATTAATGAAAACTTTACTTAAAGTCTCCAGATGACGCCTTTAAATAGATAGACCTGTCAGGCAGGACCTACCGGAATCTGCTTAAAGAAGCAAGGAGCTTGTGCTTACCGGAAGGTATTTATTTATTGTATGACCAGCTTTTAAGGGTGCCACACAGTAGTTGAGAGGGGTTTTTTAATAAAGTAATTTTAACTTTTATATTTTTACCAACCTGAAATTCATAATTAATCAAAAAATGTCCCGTATATTTTACTGTCAAATGTCTTACAATTGTATAACTCGATTCTTTATCGTCTATATATATATATATCACTTGTACATTATTCTACTGATCCAGAGAGGCTTGCGGGTGGTTTGCATGCTGCGAACTAACGGAACAAGCTTGCAGTTGTACGTGTAGCCTTGACGTCCTTTTGGCATTTGACCGTCCCGACTGCCCCAATACGCAATGCGAGTTGTACCAGTGCTCCAGCCAGCAGATATCCTACACTCAATGTCCTGTACCATGCGTTGTGGTCAAGCTGATCACGCACAAGACCATCTCCAATCCACTCACGGAAAGTCACCAGCCAGTCGCCGTCGGCGGGGCTAACAACGGTGAAAGTGCCAACCAGACATCGTTTAGCAATCGAGCCGTCTTGATGCTAATCCGCAGCGAACATGTACACGTGGCAACTGAGGAAGAAATATACTCTTTGGCCAAATTGTTCTCGGAGATTGGCGGCCTTTGCTCTCTCTTCATCGGCCTGAGTTGTATTTTTATCTTCGAAATGCTTGAGGCCCTGATCCTGATGCACAGTGAGGCAAGAGAAAAATTGCGCCAGAAAGAGGGCTTCGGCTTAAGGCCATTTGATGGAGAAACAACAGAGGAGAGGACAAATTACAAAGAAGTCCTACTGCATGCGCATACTAAAATTGGCGAAAAGGTATTTTAATTACTGGAAATTCTCTCTTATAACCTGCTTTGGATCCTAAAATATAATTTAGCTAAAGAATATACCAGCATGCTCACCTCAAGCTAGATCTTTGGGAAAGTGAACTTGCCCAGCTACGATGTACATATTTTTCTTTGTCGTTGGTGTCGATACTATTCATGCTAAATTATAAAGAAGCTTTGATGGATTATTGGTAGTCCAGAGTTACAAAATAGGAGTTTTCCTCCAATTTTGACCTAAATTCTAGCATCTCATTGGCCTAATCTGAACCAAAAGGCCTATAAAAGAGGCTTTGGTAAAAATGACCAGCCATAACGGGTCTGCTTAAGCATTTTTAAATGGCACTAAATCGAGCTGATATAAATAAATCTGTACTACCTTAAATTTTGATGATAAAAAATATTTGTAGGGAGTCAATATGAAGAGATTTTAGTTTCAGATTGAATTTGACAAATAATGCTAATATTTACCCATTTGATGTCAACTTTTATATGAAATTTATTGGGTAGAATAAAAGATCGAAAAAACAGAGAGCATGATTACCATGTAAGCTGTATTCAAACTAAACTATCAATATTAGGTATAGCATAGAATCCTTGAGAGAAGTTATGGAAATTTGTTGAATTCAAGTATATGACAAGCGTTCAGGTTGAGGGACTGGCGGTTGAAATTTCCCACAATGATAGGAGTAAACCTTACATTTTCATTAAATTTCACATAGCTTCCCATGTCTAAATGCAGTCCCACTCAAAGTGGACTTCGCCTTCGATCCTGCTTCGGTCTAATCAGCACCATTAGTGGAACTCGAACCCAGGTTGTGGTAGAGCTATGCATAATTTCGATACGTTAACCACTACGCCACATTGCCACGAGTGCCCTTGAATCATAGGACCGGGAATTTTCCCATATCACATTCAGAGCTAGAATTGGCGATGAAGTAAGGTTATATTTGCTAAAGCTTAAACGAAATAGTTGCTTGCAAAAGTAGACGGGTACAATCGTTGTTAAACGCAAATCAGCAACAGGTTATTAGGTGGAGTGGTCCCAATCGTGTTGGTTTGCTGATTATGTTACGTCTGCTAGTAAATATGCTAGAAGAGAGGCTATTGCAATTGACAGTAAAGGTAATATGTTGACTGAGGGAAATGGAGTTAAGAAACTAAGTAAGA